GACCGCGCCCGCCGCGCCCGACAAGCCCACCTCGCCGACCGCGCCCGCCGCCGCATGCCCAGCTCCAGCCCCGGCTTCACCACCCTCGGGCGACCTCTCGCGCTTGAGCATGGCTGCTGGTGGTTGTCGACGACGTTCAAGACGAGTATGGCTTGGGGAGGGAGGGCTACGACGACACGGGCAACTCGGCTTTTACTGCGGCTTGAACTCATCAGGCGCCGACGTCTCCTTGTCGTTGCGGCCCTTGATGCTCGAGTAGATGATGACCATGATAAAGGCGACGACGATGCAAAAGATGAGGCAGAGGATGATCTTGTCGGTCATCATGCGGCGGGCAAAGATGCGCAGCTGGCGGTCAGCGCGCTTCATGTTGGACTCGACCTCCTCGACGCCTGCGTGGATGCGGCCCAGCTGCTCGGTCTGGCCCTGCAGGGTGGTTGCTGTTGATGCCGCCACCTCGATGGTGTCCTCAACCATAGCCCTCGAGCGGGCGACCGAGGCTTGCGACTGGCCCTGCAGCGCCTCTGCCTGTGACAGCGTCTCGCGGGTGCCCAGCTCCACGCCCTCCTCGCCGGCAGCAGGCAACAGCGCCTGCCGCTTGGCCTCCTTCACCGCCATGTTGAGATCGACCTGCAGCTGCTGCAGCCGCTGTGTGTGCGCCTTGGTCTTCTGCCGGTACGTCGCCTGCTGGACCGTCGTCAGGTCGCGAAGCTCCACCCGGTACGACATCATCAGCTGCTTAGCCCATTTGAGGTCCTGCTTCACCTCGCCAATCTCCTGCCGCAGCCCATTCCGTACCCCATGCCGCCACGCGCCACGTGCCACCATGCCCCCACGGCCCACGGCCCGCCGCCATGCCGCCACAGTCTCTCGGTTAGGTCACCCGCCCCACCGCACCCCCCCTTCCCCCCCCCCCCCCCCCCCCCACCCCCCCCCACCCCACCACCACCACCACACACACACACGCCAGACATACCTCCTCCAATGTCATGTCCGGGTTGGTGCCCAGGTTGGCAATGGCATGCTCAATGTCTGCACACTTTTCCACCAGCTGCTCGTGGTAATCGTCCACGTCCTCTGTCGCCATGGTGTGAGGAACACGGTTTCGCCACACACACCCACCAGCCAGCAAGACGGGTACTGGTCGCCCGCCCGTCCGTCGTTGCTCGCCGCCTGGCCCAACCGGCCCGCTGACCACCCACCCGCTCGCTCGCCGCCCACTCGCCCAACTGCCATCAATTGGCTCCTCCACACGTGTGATGATCGCTGCACAAGGTGACGAACCCCCATACACCGAGCCGCCCGGTCAACACTGCGTGCTTTGTTTGATGGTTGCTGCTACGTCATGCCATCGTAAATCGAAATAGGTACATGCCCGCATCTCCATTACAAGGCCACCTTCCAGCCCCGCAAGTTCGTTGCCGTCTCAACTTGAAACAGCAGCGGGTGCAGTGAGCCATCACAAAAGTATGCACCTCAAAAGCAGTGAGACGCATGGGAGGCGATGGCAATTGCAGCGGGAACAGGTGGCCGGATGGAGGTACGGGCAAGTAAGTGAGGCATTGGTGCAAGCAACAACCCTTGCAGTCCCCAACACGGGGGCGAGGGGGCCGACAGCGGCCCCACTATCTGGGATGACTGATGCTTGCCCCATTTCCTGAAATGGTAGGCGCAGGCGTGCCCTGAGCCCCGCCAGGGTAGCGAGACCCGGGCTGAGCCTGAGACGGGGTGCCCCGGCCGTGCGCCGCGACATGGCCCGCGGTAAGGCCCGGAAAGACGCCAGGCGCTCCAGGCTGAGCCGACACGTGCGGCCACATACCGGGGTGAGTGTAGAAAAACATGTTCGGATCGCGGGCCATTGCCTGCGCCTGCACCTGAGCCTGAGCCTGAGCCTGAGCCTGTGCTTGGGCCTGAGCCTGAGCCAGCGCTCGCATTGCTTGCTGCTCACTTGGAACAACCCCCGCTGGCGCCAACCCGGCGGTAGCTCCATTGCCGTTGCCGTTGACAGACGAGCCGGGTGGTGGTCCACCGCCGCCGCCGCCGCCACCGCTGCCCGCGCCAGAGCCGTGGTTGATGGTCTTGCCGTTGCCGGTGTCAGAACCGTGGTCAATGCCATTTCCGCTTCCGCTGCTCAGGCTACAGCCGCCGCCGTTGCTGTTGCCAGCCGATGCCGACGTCGCTGTTGTCGATACTGCCGACGGCGCCGCACCCGTGGCCGATGCGCCTGCCGCCGACGGCGGCGTCCAATTGAGGCCCATGGGTGAGCGCTTGATGCGGGAAGCATGCGCCCGCGGCGGTGGTGGCGTCAGCGATGGCGCGCCCGAGTCGACTGAAGGGATCTGTGCCGGGCCGACTGAGCTCTGCGGGTCCGGCGCCATCAACAGTTGTGCAATGAGATTGTGGTGCTCGGTTACCAGCGGCTGGAGCTTGGGCGTGGCATATGTGTACAAGTGGCCAGTCTCTGATGCAATGACGAGCATGACCTGCGAGCCGGTCAGCGTCGCCAGCTCGAGCGCCTTCTTCATGATGCCGCGTTTGCGCTTGAAGAACGAAATGTGTCGCTTGTTCTTGTTCTCAATGTACCGGATGGCAATCTTGCGGCTCGCCGAGCTCTTTGCCTTGCTTGCCTTGCTCGGCGATGCCGTCGCCGACGACTGCGGCTCACTGTGATTACCTTCGCCGTCGTCGCCATCACCGTCACCGTCACCAACACCGTCACCGTCACCGTCACCCTCAGCATCACCATCGCCGTCGCCCGATTCGTCGTCATCCGACTCGTTGTCAGCTTCAACATCCGTAACCTTGGCTGCGCCTTTGCTCCCGACCTTGGCCTTCTTCCGCGCAGGCCCGGTTTGACCTCCGGAGGTGTTGGCCAACCCTGGAATAACTCGGCCAGCCCGGCTCAAGCCTATCTGCCGAGCGGAGCCACGTCGCCGGCCACGGGCCTTCCGCCGCCCTTTGCCCTGCGCCGAGTGCGCATCTTGCCGTCCTCGTTTCCCGCGTCCGTTGTTGGCGGCTGGCACCGCTGCTGCGCCATTCTGCCCCTCCGGCTCGCCGCCGTGGTTGGTGTTCGCTGACATACGCCGCACGCCCGACCCACCCGGCGCAACGGTCCCAGGATGACTGGCGACGCCTTCTGGCACGCGCCCTACCGCCGCATTGCTCGCACCCGCCTCGACGCTCTCGTCAATGGTGCTCATGCAACACGTGGGTGGCTGGTAGTGCCAAGCGTACAAACAACGGCTGGCACTCCCACACCCACGGTGTCAAGTGTGCCCGCTTTCCTGCCGACATCCACTCTCTCTGCCCCCCACCTACTATCACCCTCACCGCCAACAAGGGTGACGAGACCTCGCGACTTGGCTCCCCCACCGCCGGGTTTTTCACTCTCCAATAAGCACCGCGAATAATTTTGTTTGCTTGCTGCCACTAGCTGACCGTGTATTCTGGGGAAACAAAAAATTGTACCCACCCCCCACCCGCCATCCACTACCCGTCCACCACCCGCCCCCTGCCCCCCCCCCCCCCCCCCTCCGACAAACCACGCCCCACCACTGCACTCATTCGCACACCCCTCCCCCCCCTCCCCGCACACACACATGGTCCGTAAACGGACACGCGGCCTCTCCGCCATGTCCGAAAACGAGCTATCCTCCCTCGAATCGGCACGGAGGGCGGCAGTCGGGCTTCCCGAGCCCCCACCTGTAAGCCACCACCGCACACCCCCCTTCCCCCCTCCCACACGCACACACACACACACTCACCCTTCCTCCCCTCACCTTTTCCTCACAGCCGACTGAACTTCGCTTCGAGTATGCCGAGGAAGACGCGCCCGACCGCGAGCTCTCCGAGTTCTACTCGTATGCGGAAAATGCTGAGCTCGCCCGCATGGCCGACGTGTATGCCTCGTTTGCTGCAAGCGTCGGCATCGACGGCCCGTGGATCCATGCCGATGCTCTCGCACAACACGAGCTTGTTGTCTCGGCTCTAGACGCACTTGAGGTCGCAGACACAACTGTTCGTCGCGAGGCTGCAGAGGTCCTACTGCACGTGCTCCATGGCGGAAGCCGCGGCGATCTCGGCTCGCCCGCCGAGCGGCTTGCTGCCGCCGCCGCCGCTGCCGCCGCCGTCTACGAGACCGGCGGCCTGCCCCTTCTTGTCCAGGCGTTGCTGGTGGCGACCCGGGCGCACACCAAGGCGATGGCGGCGGCCGGCGCCGACGCAGCGCCCGCCGACGCGGGCCCAGCGCTACCCGCGCTGGAGCCGGAACTGCCGCCGCCGGTCGCCTCGGGCATTCTCGCCGACTACGACATGCGGCTCTGCCTCAACTGTCTCTACGCGCTCGTCCAGCATAACAAGGGCTCACCGTCCTTCTGCGCCGAGCTTGCCCGCCCGCGGTTTGATGGCAAATCGCTTGCCATTGTGCTCTTTGGCATGATTTCGGTCTTTAACGACGCCTTTGGGCGGCTGTATCCCATCAAGAAGATCCTGCTTCTGCTGTGGAAGACGCTGTTAGCTACACTTGGCGGAGCCGACGCCGTCGCCACCGCCAAGGCTGCCAAGGCCGCCAAGCTCGGCGTCGTCGACGGCCCGCGGGTGAGTCCCGATCTCCGTGACGAGTTTGAGGCTGCTGTCGCCTCGCGCTTCCGCTGGCTCTCAGACAAGTGGCCCAACGGCCTTCCACGAGCCCATGCCGAGGCCGCCGAGCTCCTCAAGGCCGCGACCGCCCCGACCGTCCGCGACCTCGAGCTCGCCGCCGTCGAACTCGGCCCGACCCCCGACGACCCGCTTCCATTACCGCCGCCCGACTTTGTCCCGCGCGCCATCCTTCCGCCGCGGCATCGGAACCGCATGGAGGAGCTCTACCGCGAGCTCCTGCCCAACATGTCGCGCTACGTCATCATTCTGCTCAAGATTGTCCTCGCTGCCGCGCCGACGGTTAAGAACTACGCCGGCACCATCTGCCTCACCTCGGAGCTCGCGCCTGTGGCGCCTGGCGCCGCCGGGGCGCCTCGCTCATGCAGTCGGCCACGGCGAGCATGGATCTCACCCGCCACAAGGAAATTGTGGTCAAGGCAGTCTCGTTCGTCTTCAAGCTCCTCCTTGACCACGCCGCCGTCTCGCATACCTACCAGTTTGAGTACATGGCCTTGCTCCTTGTCGACGCCAACTGCATCCTTCTTCTCCTTAAGTTCCTCAACCAGGACGTCAACGAGTTTATCACCACCCGCAACGACCTGCCGGACCTCGAGGCCTTTGCACCGCTCAATCCGCCGGTCGACGACCCGGACACTGCTGCCGCCGCCGCTCAGCCCGGCACCGTCTCATGGCGAAACTTTGCCTCGTCGCTCAACTTTATCACCATGCTCTCCATGCTCACCCGCAACAACCCGGTCCGCATTCGCCAACTTGTCCGCTACAAAGCGCCTGCTATCCTCAAGCGCATCCTCAAGATCCTCCACCAGCCGACAAAGATCCTCACCCTCGCCCTCCTCAAGCGCCAGCTCAAGTTCCTCGGCAAAAAGTGGCGCTCGTCCAATACCAAGATCATCACCATGATCTACCTCCTTCTCCCGCCTGACCTCGACACCTCGTGGCTCTACCCCGACGCCGGCATCGCCACCACCGGCATCGCCCTCGCCGCGCCCTGGACCCTCTCGGTTGGCATGCAGTCGTCCGACGTTGTCGCCGCAGCTGCAGCCGCAGCCGCAGCCGTCCAAGATTCCGACAACGCCACAGATGCGTCAACCCCGTTTGGCATGGGCATCCTCGCCCCGCAGGGTCTGACTCCTGCCGAACAAGCCGCCGCAGATCAGGACCGCGACTTTCTCCTCCGCAAGGCCATCGCCGTCTTCAACCAGCGCAACTACCACGAGTTTGACCGCTTCCATAACCCCACTCCCTCGCCGCTTCATGCCCACTATGTCCACGCCCATGACGGCCGCCTCCGCACCAACTCGGAGCTCGAATCGCTCTACTTTGAGCCCACATCCTTTGCCGCCTCCTACACCCACTGGCTCGACTCGGAAGTCTTCCCCGACGTCGAGGACGTTGATGACGATACCCTGCTGGACTCGATGCGGCCTGCGGGCTATGTTGACGAGGTTGATCTCCCGGGTCGCACCTCTGAGTAGTCCCCCCCCTCCTCCTCCTGTTGTCGCCGCCCAAGGCCCGCCAGCACCTGGATCCGATCCCTCTCTCCCTCCCTCGCCTGCAGCCGCACGAAAGCCGCGCAACATCGTTACAATAGCCTCGCAACAACCCACTCACTGCCTCACAGCGTCTTCCAGTTTTGACAATAGTGTGCAGTCCACGCCCCATAACCCCCCCCCCCCCACCCCACCCCCCTCGCCTGGCCTACCCAAACCCACGCCTGGAACCGAAACCGAACATAGCCATCGATCACTCTGCCCTGCACCGCACTCCCCCTTCCCCCTCCCCCACCCACCCACCCCCTTCCCCACTATGCCGCGCTCTTACTCTGGGGGCTGGTCGGGCTACGACGCCTACAGCACCACTGTATGTCCACCACCCCCATCCCACCCAGCTCCCCCCACCTCGCTCCAGTCGGTTCCTCCCCCCGCCCCCGCAGCTGCTACCCGCTGCGGGTGCTGCCCACTTTTTCGCACTCACACACCCCCCCTTTCCTTCCACAGGCTACTTCGGCTGCTACGACGACTGAATCGGAAGACTCGCGGGCGCTGTTCATCAACGACCGCGAGCGCAATGCGCAGTTCGAGTACCCGAACAACAAGATTCGGACGTCGCACTACACGATGTGGAACTTTGTGTTTATCACCCTCTACGAGCAGTTCTCCAAGCTCGCCAACGCGTACTTTCTGGTCATGGCCTGTCTCACGCTCATCCCCACCATCTCGCCCGTCCATCCGTGGTCGTCGTTCATGCCGCTTGTCTTTGTCATCACCACTTCGATGATCCGCGAGGCCGTCGAGGACTACTTTCGCCATCGGCAGGACAACGAGATCAACCACCGCATCGCTTTCGTCCTCAACACCGACACCCACGAGTGGTACGAGGAAGAGTGGATCAACGTCATGCCCGGCGACATTGTGCTCGTCGAGGATGGCGGCTTTCTCCCTGCCGACCTGCTCGCCCTGGTCACCTCGACCGACGACGGCTCGTGCACGGTCGAGACGCGCAACCTCGACGGCGAGTCAAACCTCAAGCCCAAGAAGGCGGTCGAAAAGTGCCAAGAGCTCGGCGACGACCTGCGCAAGCTCTCCAAGATGCGCGGTTCACTCCACTATGAGCTGCCCAACAACCGGTTGTACGCCTTCAACGGCTCGTTCGAGTACAAGGCGCCCAAGGCCAAGAAGGCAACGTCCATCCCAGTCACCGCCAAGGAGGTTCTTCTCCGCGGCTCGATGCTCAAGGGCACCCAGTGGGTCATCGGCCTTGTTGTGTACACCGGGCACGAGACCAAGCTCATGATGAACGCGACCAAGACCAAGACCAAGCGCTCGCGCGTCGACCGCCTCATGTCCAAGTACCTGGTCGTCATCATGATCTTTGAGTTTCTGGTTGTCTTTGGCTCGGCCACCGCCGCTGGTCTGTGGCAAGAGGCTGTGGCCAAGGACCATCCGTACCTCGGCCTCGCACCCGACGACGACTCGGCGTTCTACGGCTTCAAGTCGTTCTTCACCTTTTTATTCTTCTCTCGGCTCTCATCCCCATCTCGCTCTACGTCTCGGTCGAGATGGTCAAGGTGGTGCAGTCGCTGCAGATCAACGTCGACAAGGACATGTACTACGAGCCAACCTCCAAGCCGGCTCGCGCCCGGACCTCCAACCTCACCGAAGAGCTCGGCCAGGTCAAGTACGTGTTTCAGACAAGACCGGAACTCTGACCCAGAACCGTATGGACTTTATCAAGTGCTCCATCGGCGGCGTCTCGTACGGTACCGGCATCACCGAGGCTGCACGCGCCGCCCAGCTCCGCGCCGAGGGCAAGGACGCCGCCCAGCTCGACTGGCATGAGCTCCAGGAGGAGGCCTCGTCTGACTCGGACTCGTCGTCGTATGACTCGGGCTACGGGTCGTCCGACGTCGAGTCGAGCCGTCGCGCCTCATCAGCGTCGACGCAGAGCTACGCCCTCTCGCCCGCCTCGTACGCATCAGAGAGCGGCGAGGAGTTTGACCCGACCATGCTCAAGGCGCTTGACAAGGGCGGCGACCACGGCGAGGACATCGACCTGTTTGTCACACTCCTTGCAGTGTGCAACACGGTCGACCCGCGGAAGGCCAAGCCCGAGGAGGCCCACAAGTCAGACGTCTACCGCGGCATCCGCTACCAGGCCGCCTCCCCCGACGAGGCTGCGCTGGTCAAGGCCGCCGCGCAGTTCTTCGACTACCGGCTGGTCTCGCGCTCAGGCTCGAACCTGACGGTTCTGGCTCGCGGCGAGAAGCGCAAGTACAAGGTGCTCAACGTGCTCGAGTTTGACTCGGACCGCAAGCGCATGTCGGTCATTGTCCGCATGCCCGACTCGCGGATCATGTGCCTCACCAAGGGTGCCGACTCGGTCATCTACAAGCTGGTCAACAACGCCAAGGCCAAGGTTGGCCGCAAAACCGACTCGCACCTCACCACCTTTTCGGAAGAGGGCCTGCGGACGCTCGCCTGCGCCTACCGTGAGCTCTCTGACTCGGAGTACAAGGCGTGGAACAAGCGGTACACCAAGGCCGCGCTCGACGTGCTCAAGCGCGATGAGCTCATTGCCGAAGTCTCGCAGGACATGGAGACCGACCTCACCCTCCTCGGCGCCACCGGCATCGAGGACAAGCTGCAGGACGGAGTGCCACGGACCATCGCCACCCTCGCGCATGCCTCGATCAAGATTTGGGTCCTCACCGGCGATAAGCAGGAAACCGCCATCAACATCGGCTACGCCTGTGCACTCCTCGACCAGGAGATGAACATTCTTGTGGTCAACACTACGTCGTTTGAGGAGACTCACGACGTGCTCAAGTCGTACATCCGCAAGTACTCGCCCGAGCGCAACGCCAAGGCCGGCCGCTACAAGAACAACGCCCTAGTCATGGACGGCAAGTCGCTGGCCTTTGTTCTCTCAGCACCAGAGACCCAGGACCTGCTCTACGAGCTCGGCCTCATGTGCGTCTCGGTCATCTTCTGCCGCGTCTCGCCGCTGCAAAAGGCGAACGTCGTCGGCCTCGTCCGCGCCCGTGCCAAGAACGACGTCACGCTCGCCATTGGCGACGGCGCCAACGACGTGTCGATGATCACCGAGGCCCATGTCGGCGTCGGCATTGCCGGTGAGGAAGGCATGCAGGCCGTCCTCGCGTCGGACTATGCCGTCGGCCAGTTCCGCTTCCTCCAGAAGCTTCTCCTTGTCCACGGCCGTTGGTCCTACCGTCGTGTTGTCAAGCTCATCCTCTACTCGTTCCAGAAGAACGCTGCATTCAACCTCACCCAGCTCTGGTTCAACATCTTTGCCGGTATGTCGGGTCAGACCCTCCTCTCAGACGCCCACATCTCGTTCTTCAACCTCACCTTTACGGGCCTGCCAATCATGCTGTTCGCGGTCTTTGACCAGGACGTCAACTCGCGCGGTTCGCAGCTTTTCCCACAGCTTTACACCATTGGCCAGAAGGACGGTCTCTTCAACCTTCACGTCTTTGTCGCCTGGTTCTTCGAGGGCATCTTTCAGTCGCTCATCCTCTTTTTCCTCCCAATGGCCGCGTACTACGCCGTCTCGCCGCACGAGTCAGGCCGCCTCGATGGCCTGCACCACTTTGGAGCCCTTGTCTACGTCTGCATCATCATTGCCGCAAACGTCAAGGTCATGATCATGACCAAGTTCTGGACCTGGCTCTGCCCATTATCTACTTTGGCTCCATCCTCTTCTGGTTGTTTTTGCCGCCATCCAGCACGCCCGCCCCGAGTGGGGCACCCACTTTGGCCTTTCAGAGTTCCTCGACGCGCCTATCACCTGGCTCCTCTTTATCCTCGTCCCCTTTGTTGCTCTCCTTCCGGGCTTTATCGTCGAGTACGTCCAGGTCAACTTCTTCCCCACAAAGATTGACGTCGTCCGCAAGCTCCGCATCAGCCGCACCAAGGGCGATCTCTCGGACGAGACTATCGGCCACATCGAGGCGGCCCTCGCTGCACATACCGGCAACTTTGCCGGTGCCACCATCTCAGCATCGGGCGGGACCAACACGTACTCGGATACCCCCGAGTCGTCAGGCTCGACCCGCTGGGATGCCTCGTCGTCTAGCGACGATGACTACTCCTCGTACAACGAGTCATACGAGGCGTCTGCGTCGTACTCGTAGGTGCCATGAATGAACTGTTTAACAATGTTAGTCGCGATGTGGTCGTTAGTGAGAACGAGGTATCGTCAAAGGTGGGACTTGCGAAAAAAGAGATCGTCGGACAAAGAAAGACTGCTCACCTCCACTGGTGATGGCCTGCCTGCACGCCAGCGACGGCATTGACCGTACGTCCGACACCTGCAGACGTGTCGACCGAAGAGGAGCAACTACTGTTGCATCAGGGATAAAGTGCAGCAGAGTCGATTGTTTACATCGATCAGACATGCTGGAAGGCTAGCCACCACCAACCAAACCGCTGGCCGTCTGCCAGCCGTCCGCCAACTGCCGCCTTGCCAGCCGTTGCCCCTGCTCCCCGCCCTCACCCCCGCCCTCACCACCCACCATTCTCACACCTCCACACTCCCCTCCACCCCAGCACAAGTCAGAAGCAAGTGCAGAGGATGGAGAGCAGGAGCCGCGAACCCGACGCAGTGCATGTGGCGCTGCGAGTGGTGTCGCCGTCGGGGGCGCGTGGTGGCAGCGCGCGCGTCCTGTCCGTCAACCGCCACCCGCCTTGCGTGAGCTACACACCGGGCGGTGGGGCTGGGAGCTCAGCGACGGTGTTTGGCGCCGATGCGGTATACTCGGAGGCCGACTCGAACAAGGCCGTGTATGCCTCGTCCGTTCGTCCGCTTGTTGCTGCCGCCCTCCAAGGCGCCTCGGGCCTGCTGGCCGTCCATGGCCGGACAGGGACCGGCCGCTTGGCCCTGCTGTGCGGGACCGGCGACGGCGGCGACCGATCCATCATCCTGCGCGCCCTGCAGGACATCTTCTACTTTCTGCGCAAGCGCGCATCCGTCGAAGCTGCTGCCTCACCCGCACCGACCGGCATGGACTCGGTCGGCTTTGCCCTCCACGCCTCGCTGCTGCAGGTCGGTCCGGGCGAGGAGCTCGTCGACGTTTTGCGCCCGGCATCGGGTTCGCTGCGCCTAGTCGAGGCCCCCGCCGGCGATGCCATGGAAGTCGAGGGCCTTTCGCTTCGCCCGCTGGCCAACCCGGGCGACATCGAGCCGCTCCTCGCCCGCCTTGCCCGCCGGACCAAGGGTGAGTCGGTCGAGCACCGCAAGGCCTCGTCGGTCGTCCTTATCCTCACCATCGCCCAGAGTCAGACCTCGCGCGCACAGCGAACCCGCTTTGTCACCACATCCAAGCTCGGGTTCGTCCTCCTACCGTCGGCAGAGGTTGCCACCGCACAGGTTAACCGTTCGCTCAACGCGCTCCGCGCCGTCCTCACCCTACTTCGCTGCCACGCTCGCGAGTCACCCGACGCTACGCTTCTTGTCCGCTCCATCCCTTACGCATATGCCAAGCTCACTACTGCTCTCAAGGATATGCTATCACCAGCGTCTCACGTCGTGCTCATCGCCACCGCATCGGATGACGACAATCAGCTCGACGCCTCGCTCGCCACCTTGCTCTACGCCTCGCGTGTTGCCGCACCACTCTACGGCTCGGATCCGGACATTGGCGAGCTGCTCGGCGGTTATGGCATGCCCCATGGAGCACCCGGCTTTGGCTCACCAGCGCAGAGGCAGCATCCGGCAGCGGGTGACTCTGTCGACGGGCAGCTAGGTTTCGCGGCGTCTGGGGCCGGTGCCAGCTTTACTTCGGAGCCGTCAATGGCGGCTGCGCTCGACGCCGCAACCGTCGACAATGCCACTCTGACTAAGCTGCTTGCGGCATCACAGGACAAGCTCGCCGCCGCTGTCGATGAAAGCCAGCATGCACAGGCTGAGGCCAAGGACGCTACCGAGCGCCTGCGGGTCGAGTCGGAGCGGGCTGCGGCAGCAGCCAAGGCCCACACAACTGCCACCAAGCAGCTTGCCAAGTGCCGCAACGAGCTCAACTCGGCGAGGGCCACAGCCAAGTCGGCATCGGCGTCGGCGGCCCAGGCCGAGGCTGACCGCGACGAGCTCACCGCGCTCAACGACGTGCTTCACAAGCAGCTTGGCGATACTATCAGCCAACTCGAGGAAGCGTCCGCGGTCAATGGGCGGCTCGACGAGCGCAATGCAACCCTCGAGGCCGAGGTCTCAAGGCTCCGCGCTGCGCTCAACAAGGCTTGCGACGAGCTGGAGGCTTCGCAGCATCGTGAGATCACGCTCTCGCAGCAGCTGGCGGATGCTCAACGCGAGGCGGCATCCAACCATGACGCGCTCACGTCTGCGTTGGCAGAGCTGGACATGCTCTCGGCGCAGCACAATCAGGCAGTGGCCCGCCTCGATGAGGTCAAGCACCATGCCCAGTCGACAGCAGCCGAGACTGCGAATCTGCGGTCGCGGCTGGAAGCCTCGGCGCTGGCAACATCGATGGCGTCACAGTACCGCGACCGTGCCGCTACTGCCGAGGAGCTGCGCGAAGAGTTAATGCGGGTTCAGGCCAAGCTGACCCGGACTGTCAACTACGCGCGGAACATCGAGGACGAGAAGGACAAGGCTGAGCATGTCATTATGCAGATGCAGGCCCAGCTTGACCAGGCTGAGCGCAAGCTTCAGCGGGTCGCCATCCGGGTCGAGGCCGAGGTCGAGGACCAGATTCAGGGCATGCGCAAGAAGCTCACCGATGCCAACGCCGAGATCGAGCGGCTCCACCGCAAGGTACGGGAAGAGGAGGAGCGGGCCCATCGGGCACAGACGCTGCAAGCAACCGACCCGATTCTTGACCGCCAGATGTCACAGCTTAAGATGGAGCTGCAGGCCGAGACCACACGGCGCGAGCAAGTCGAGTCAGAGCTCCGCGACGCCCGCAAGGCGCTGCAGGAGCTCAAGACTCAGCACGAGATCGTCTCGCACGATCTCGAATCAATGAGTCGCAAGCTTGACCACCGTCAGGACGCCCTTTCTGCTGCCGTGAGCGACAAGAAGACGATGGCGCAGGAGCTGGACTCGACTGCCAAGGCACTGGCTCAGGCAAGCCGCGAGCGCGACGCCACCGCTGCCGAGCTCATGGCGGCATCGGCCCGAATCGCGAGCTTGACGTCCGAGGTTGAGGCTGCTGGCGAAAAACTCGCTGACCGCGACGAGAGCGTGCGCCGCCTCGAGGCTCAGCTAACCAAAGCTACCGATGCGTCACTGGCGTCCGAGAAGAAGGTGTTGCATCTCGGCATGCAAGTCGAGCACTCGGCGGCGACGGTCCAGCGACTGAAGGACGATCTTGCGGCGGCGAAGGCGACGGCGGCAGATGCCCAGACCGCGACTCACCAAGTGACCAAGACCCGCGACGAGCTGGCAGTTCAGCTCTCGTCGTTGACAGCCCAGCTGGCTGCTGCTGATGAGCAGTCCAAGCGCGATGCGGCTGCCATTGACGATGCCGCCGTCAAGCTTGCGGCTGCACTTGCGGCGCACGACGAGACCAAGACCGAAATTCGTGAGCTGCGACACGATCTCGACGCCGCTCAGAAGACCGGAGCATCGCTTGCTCGCGAACTGGCAGCAGCGCAGACCACGGCCGAAAAGGCAGAGGCTGCGCGCAAGGCTGCGGTAGTGGCCGCGGCCGCAGCAAGCGACGAAGCCCGCGGGCTCAAGTCGGAACTTGCAACTACCGAGTCGCAGCTGGGCAAGCTTGCGGCGCAGCTTGATGCGGTTCGCGATGCGAGCCGTGACGCCAAGGAGCTGCACACTGCGCTTGCCGCTGAGCTCAAGGACAAGACCGCCGAGCTTGACGCTGCAAAGTCGAAGCTGATGCAGTTGGAGAACAAGGTGGTACTCGCTGATGACAAGGTTGCACACGCGCACGAAAGCATCGCGGACCTGAAGGCAGCACTCGCGAGCAGTGAGGCCAGGTCCGACTCGCTGGCGGCGTCCAAAGACGATGCACTCTCCAAGCTGCGGACTCGCGAGGCTGAGCTTGCCGAAGCTCGCCGGGCCAACGACGTGCTCAGCCGTGACAGCGAGGCCGTGATTGCGGCACGCCGCGAGCTGGAAGAGACACTGCGCAGCGTGCGCGATGAGCTCGGTGAGGCGCGGGCCGAAGCATCGCGGAGTGCCGGGCGCGTGACGCACCTGGAGCAAGACCTCACTCACGCCAACTCGCGGATCGAGAGCCTGCGGACTGTAGAGGAAAAGGCGGCGCGTCTGGACGGGGAGGTGGCTCAGCAAAAGGCGGAGCTGCAGCTGGCGGCCGGACGCATCGAGTCCTCGTCGCGAGCGGCGTCCGAGTGGGAGGGCAAGGCCGAGGCGCTAGTGCGCGAGCTGGCTGTGGCGCGCGACGAAGTTCGCGATGTCAAGTTTGAGCTCCGCGAGTGCCAGACCGCACGCGAGAAGACCCACGCCGAGCTTGATGCTGCTCTGCGCGCAAGTTCGCAGCTCGAGCACAAACTCTCGGCGGCGACTGACAAGGTGGCAAACCTCGAGCAGGCGCTGCGCGAGGCTCGGGCTCATGGCGAGAGCATGCGCACTAGCCTGGAGCGCAAGAACGCGGAGACGGGTGCGAGCCTAGACGCGTCGCGGGCAGAAAACGCCCGGCTCGAAACTGCGCTGGCGGGTCAAAATGCGGCGGTGCGCGAGTGCCAGGCTAAGATCGAGACGCTCAACGAGGCGCTGCAGGCAGCCAAGATGCAGCATGTGGATGTTGCGGCACAGGCGTCTGCGGCACAGGCCAAGGTCGACGGCCTCCGCAACGAGCTTGATGCTGCGCGGGGTGCAGCGCGCGACGCGCAGTCGGCAGCCAAGGCCAAGCTGGCAGCTTCGGTCCGGGCTGCGGACGAAGCAGCAGCAGCGGCGGCAAGCAAGCTTGCGGCGCGCGAGTCGGAGCTCGACTCACTTGCCAAGGCCCGGTCGGAGATGCAGCATCAGCTGAGCAAGCTGCGGCTGGAGTTGGATGCAGCGCGGCAGGATGCCGTGCGCGAGGCGGCAGCAGTTAGTGCGGCTGAGAGTCGCATTCGCTCGCTGCAAGACGAAGTGGCACAGGCAAATGAGCGGGTGGCACAGGCGCGCGATGAAGCCGCAAGCATGGTCATGGCTCACAAAGAGGCACAGTTTGCGGCCGACCAGAAGGCTGCACGCGAGCTGGGCGCGGTCCAAGTCGAGCTGGCGACGACCAAGGCTGCGCTGCAGAGCTTGACCGAGGCATGCAACGCTGCAAGAGCCGAGGCGCAGCGAGTGCCAGACCTCGAGCGACAGGTGGCAGCGCTGACCAACCAGGTGTCGGCGCTGCGGCAGGCCGAGGCGCGGGCACAAGCAGCGGTGATGCAAGCCGAGTCCAAGGCGGCGACGTCCGAGTCGCTGGCGGCGTCGCTGGCGCCACTGAAGGATGCCGTAGCAGATGGCCTCGCCACCAACGCACAGCTCCACGCCAAGATAGCGGATCTCAACGAGACAATCCAGGAACTGCGGAGTGGGGCAGCGAGCTCTGCGATCGAGGTCGAGAGCAAGCAGAGCCAGCTGGAGAGCTTGGACGAGAAGCTGTCCCAGGCGCTGGCGCACCTCGAATCCGAGCGTGGCACCGTGGCTGCACTCCGCGACGAGCTGGATCGGACCCGGCGCGAGGTCGACGCGCTGCGGAGCGAGAGCACCAGCCGCGAGCGCGAGGTGCGCGAACTGGCATCCAAGGCTGCAGCCGCAGAGCAACAGGCAGCGTTTGCACGCGAGAGCTTGGCAGCATTGGAGAAGGACAAATCAGAGGCCGTGGCTCAGGCGCGCGAGGCGACGATAGCGCGTGAGACTGCGATGCGCGAGGCGGCGACGCTGGCTGCGCAGCAAGCGCGGCACGAGGCCGAGGCTGCGCTGATGAAGGTCTCGTCGGACAACGCTGCTGACAAGCAGGCATCATGCGCCGCCGAGCTAGAGCGGGTGCGTGAAGAGGCACGGCGTGCCACCGACCGAGTGACCGGCCTGGAGACGACCAACGCGTCGCTGCAGGCCCTGGTCAAGCAGCTGGAGGCAAGCCTGGGCGAAGCCAAGGCGGGAAGCGAGAGCGTGCGCACGGAGCTTGTGCAGATGAAGGCGGCGTTGGACGAGGCACATGGACGTGAGCTTGCGGCTAAGGAGGCAGCAGCATCGTTGAAGCTGGAGATGGCGACGCAGGGGGCGCAAGCCCAGCTAGCGATGTATGAGTCGCAGGCGCGAGCCGAGTCGTCCAAGGCCAAGTCGGCCGAAGCGCTGTCGATGCAGCTTGCGGCGGCCGAGGAACGGGCCCGTGCGCTCAACTCGGAGTTGCAGCGCAAGAGCGACGAGGGAGCCTATGCTGTGTCGCAGAGCGAGAACCTCACGACGCAGGTCCAGTCGCTGCGGGCCAGGGTGACCGAGGCTGAGCGGCAGGTTTTGGAGGCCAACGCGGCGACGCGCGGCGCGGCAGTCAAGGCGGAGCGGCTGGAACAGGAACTCGCGGTGAAGGAGGCAATGGTGGTGCAGCTGAGCGCTGAGCTCGATGGAGCGCAGTCACTGCACGCGCGGGCGGCACGACTGGAGGAAAACGTGGGCTCGCTGTCGGCGCTGCTGGCCGAAGCCGAGGCGCGGATTGAGACTGAACGGTCGCGGGCGGCGCGGCTTGGCGAGTCCGAGGCACAGAGCGTGACACGGGTAGCGGCGCTGACGCGTGAAGTGGCGCAGGTACGCGAGCGGGCAGACCGCGCCGAGGCCGAGCTCGCGCTCGCCAAGCGAACTATCGACGATCTCGACTCGTCGAAGCGGCAGCTGGCCGTGCAGCTTTCGGAGGCGTCGATCACGTCGACGCGGCTGGACGCATCGGTGTCGGAGGCGCGGACACGGACCATGCAGATCGAGCGAACATCGCGCGATGCCACGACACGGGCGCAGGCGGCCGAGCAGCAGCTCGAGCGGGTGCGGGCGCAGCTGGTTGCCGCCGAGGCACGAGCCGAGGCGGCCGAGCGTGAGGCAGCCGATCTCCGGCGAGAAATGGTGCGGGCGACTAGCCAAGAGCAGCAGCTGGCGGCGACGTCGGACGAGGCGCGGCGGCTGCAGACCCGAGTTCGTGAGCTGGAGGCGCAGCTGGTGCAGGCCGAGGCGGCGGCGGCAAGCGCTCGGTCGGATCTGGCGACGCAGCGGCGCGAGAGCGACGAGCTCCGCCGGCAAGTCGACCGGCTCGAAAGCGAGGTGGCCCGCATTCAGGATCGAGCGTCTCACCTCCAGATGACCCTTCTCGAGCGCGAATCTGAGCTCGCGGCATCTGTCCTCGCCACTCGGCAGATGGAGGACGAGCTGCACATGGAGCGGATGCAGCACTCGCGGATCCGTGACCAGATCGAGCTTGCGGTTTCTCAGATCGACGTAACCCCCCCCCCCCCCCCCCCCCCCCCCCCCCCTCCCGTCAGACAGTTAAAACGTGACATATGATGTGACTTTGCGAGGGGTGGGTTTGGCGGCCTTCTCGCCGACAGGAGCCCTGCTGCTGCCGGTTGGCGGCGGCGAGCCTCCTGGGCCGAGATGCTGTTGCCGGCCGCCGGTCCTGGCACACCCCTCTCACCGACCGATCTCTCACCCCCACCTGCACCCCCTCCCCCACCCTCATTCCCCTCCCCCTCTTCCATGGAATCTGGCCGCATCGCCGCCCTTGCCAGGCGTGGCGAGGGCCTTGTCCACGAGTATGTGGTGGCCGCGCAGAAGCTTGTTGAAGTCTTCGAGAACGCCGCCCTGCACGCCCCCGGTACGCCACGAATACGGTGCTGACGTGTTTGAGTGTGAGTGAGTGAGTGTGTGTGTGTGTATGTGTGTGTGTGTGTGTGTGTGTGTGTGTCTGTGTCAGCCCGTGTCGCACAAGACCCTCTCCCCTCTCCTCCCCCTCCCCCCCCCCCCTCCCACCCCCTCACCCCCCCCCCCCCCCCCCCATCCCATTAACACAGATGCACCTCCACCTGCTGCTGCTCTGGAAGATGTCAAGGCTATTGTGGTGCGGGTCCAGTCCCAGCTGGAGGAGACATGCAGCCAGCTGACGGCGGCGATGGAGGCTACTCCAACGCCAGCAAGGGCTGGTGATGGTCATGGTGCTGTGCAGATGGTGGGATTGATGCCGGGGGGTACTGGGAGTGGACAAGCTACGCCTGGGGCCGGCCAGGCGGGCAAGGACGGTCTCGCCAATCAGGCTGCTCACACGGCAGAGCTGGAGAAGCAGCAGGTTCGCGCGCTGGCTGTTATCGATCGCCTGCGCGACATGCAGCTGCATCTGGCGAGTCTGGCCAAGCCGTGACAAGCATAGGCGCGATGGATCATGAATGGGCTTTGTGTCTTGGGGGCTACACTCGAGCTACTGGGCAGGCGCGCTGGCACTGGGCAAGCCCCCACCTCGCCATCGCGGAGAAGCGTGAGCGTGTTGCCGGTCTCGATGACTGTCTGTAGCGCCTCGTTGAGCTCGACACGTTCCTGGTCCGACGAAGTGACGCAAAGCTTGGCGTGGACGAGCATAACGAGCGGCGGGATGACAAATACGGCGGCGGCGAGGGCGGCGACTGGGACCAGCGACGAGGTGTCATCGATGAGGTATGCCGAGCCGGCGGCGAGGTTAACCCCAACGGTCGACGCAGCGAGACCGAGCTGGGCAGAGTTGACCCGCCGGCTGACGTACGACGGCCGCCAGGCGATGGCGGTGACGTAGACTAGCGACAAGGCAATGTAGACAACAAGCAGGACCGCGATCTCGTCAAAGATGATGACCGAGACTGAGACTAGTGTAAGCTTGAGCGCGTGGAGCAAGATGTCTGTCAGGCGGGTGTTGACCCGCTTGGTCATCCGGTGCAGCCGGAACCGCTTAAGAAGGAGCACGTCGGCACCCCAGTTGAGCGAGAAGGCCGTGGACACGGCCTCGGGTTGAAAGTCGAGTCGGACAAGCCGAAAGGTGAGCGGGATGTACAGAGCAAGCATCCCCGTCGCGCCAAGTAGCATGTACGTGTGCGAGCCTGTAAAGCAGGCTTGGCTGGGCGCCGCCGCCACCTCGCCATCGGTGCACCGAAAGTTGGCAACGAGCACCCGCAGCAGTGGGACAAACAGAATGTCAGCGCAGAGCCAGGTGAGCACCGCCCCGATCTTGTGAAGCCGGAACCGTCGGAAGCAGAACGCGAGCGTAAAGAGCAAGAGCCCGCTCGCCACCGCCCAGAACAGCAGCGCAAAGTTGACGTTTCTCAGCGCGGCTGCAAGTAGTGGCGCAGCTGCAATGTCCACCGCCACCTGCGCCGACGAGTGCCACGCGAGCTCGAGCTCGAGCGCAAACGCCGCCAGCTGGATCGTTGCTACTACCAGCGTGATCATACCCTTGAGCTGATCAAACATTCGCTGCCACTGCGCAACGCGAAGCCGCGCTTCTTGCCCGGCGGCTGCCGAGCCTACTAGCACGGTGCCGAGGCCACCCGGCCCGGGGCTGGCCCCGTTCCCCCCGCCGCCAGCCTCGCCGCCCTCGCCAGCGTCCAGCACCAGATCATACGGCGAGAGGCCGTCATTGTCCTTCACCGCGGACGCTCCTGCTGCAGTCAGCAGCTGGATCGTCGGGGTCGAGCCGGCCAGCACCGCATAGTGCAGCGCCGTCCGCCCCGCGCCGTCGCGCAAGTTGACGTACTGGGCCGAGCCGCTGGCTTGCAGTAGCGCGGGAATGAACGTCGCCACCATTTCTGACGTCGCTACCGATCGAGCCGCGACGTGGAGCGTTGTCTTTCCAGTGCTGTCGGCAAGAGTCGGATCGGCACCAGCCTCGAGTAGCCACAGTGCTGCCGCAGCCAGGCCGAGATGCGCCAGACGGTGCAAAATGGTCCGCCCATCGGCATCACGCGCATTAGGGTCGGCGCCGGCTTGAAGCAGCATGCTGGCGATTCGTGACTGTGCTGCAAGAAAGCCGCTCTGCTCAGTCGAGCCGGCCGAGCCAATAAGCGTGCGCCCGAGCGGCGTCTCGCCCGAGTTGGTCGGCGTGTTGGGATCTGCGCCGGCTGACAGCAGCGCGTTCAACCGCGCTTCGCGCAATGCCGGCTTGAAAGCGCGCAGTGAGTCTGGATCCCACAACTGCGCGTCGACAAGATAATGGATTGGCGCCAGACCGTGGAGGTCGGTCGCGTTGACAGCCGGCCGCTCTGCGCCCAGAAGCAAGTCGATTCCGCGCTGCGATGCCATCGAGTTTTGGACTACCAGTGCATGGAGAGGGGTGAGTCCGTTCGCATCGGCCGCACGCGGATCAGCTCCAGCACGTAGCAACTCGATCATGGCTATGTGGTCAGCGAGGAGCGCCGCAAGCAGGAGCAGCGACGTCCGCGATCGCACGGGAAGTTCTGCCGACCACTCTACCGTCGCATGGACATCAACCGAGATCGGCGGTGCCAAGAGGAGCCGGACAAGCTCATGGTCTCGCGCAAGGAGCGCGTTGACCATAGCGCTTTCAAAGGCAACTGGACCGAGGCTGAGCTCGCCGGCACCAGGCGGACCGGCGCCGTGTCGGGTCACAAGCTCGTGTACCAGCCGCGCTGATGCACCCACTGCGCCCAGTGTTGCCTCGACCCGGCTCAGCTCGCAGGTCACTGATGCGCCGACCGCCAGCAGCGCTGCTAGCGCGTACGACGACTGCGCGCCAGCAGCGACATCGACCGGCGTGTACCCAAGCCCGTTGCGAGCATCAAAGCTGGCTCCGAGGCCGACAAGCGCCACCACCAACGCCTCCATGTCGTACGCCGCAGCAAGATGGACCAGGGTCTGCGCCTCGCCGCTCGAGTTGTCGACATCGTCCAGGTTGAGGGCAGCGAGAGCATCGCTGGAGAGCGAGGCGCGGAGCGCGCCAGGTGCAATCGAGCTCGGCTGGCCGTCGAGCTGCTCTGAGGCCAAAGGCCACGGCTCGACGTCGTCGAGCTCTGAGCGCCAGAGAAGCGCAGCTACGAGCGCCGTGGCGGCACGCACGTGTGTCGGAGTGCGCGCGTGCCGCTTGGGGAGCTTACGGATGACAGCAAAGAGTAGAGGGACGGCTGAGGCGTCGACGGCCGAGACCGAGGCGCCGGCAGCAACAAGGTCGAGTGCCTGCGGGATGATGGTCTGTTCCATGGGCGTAGGCTCAAGCGGTGCGGCTGCCACAAGGGTGTAGAGCTCGTGCGAGAGAGCGACGCGGGCCATGGCCTTGGAGGGAATGGCGGCGGCCATGTGGTTGGCAAAGTCGTCGGGCGGATGGACCCGATCCGCCCACGGCGGCGGCAGCTGAAAGACCGAGAGGACAAGCTCATGGATGCGCGATGACGACGTTGCTAGGTCTGCGGCGGTATTGCCGGCGGCGGAACGGAGCGCGAGGTTACCGCCGGCGCCGACGAGAGCCTCGACCAGCGGCTCAAGCTCGCGGGCGGCAGCAAAGTGCAGCGGGGTGGCACCGTCGACTTGCTGCCACAGATGGGTGGGGATGGAGACGGTAGAAACTCGCAGATGAAGCGGGTAGGACAACGTCGATGCGTTCGGGTCGGCGCCAGCGTCCAGGAGGGCGGTGGCCATTGCGATGGCACCGGTGCGAGCAGCGTAGTGCAGGGCGGTTGCACCATGTGCATCTGCAGCATTAACATCGACGCCCATCTGGACAAGATAGGCAAGGGTCCGGGCGCGGCCAGCGTTGACAGCGAGGCAGAGCGGTGGTGGGATGGTCGGGTCGAGCGAGTCCTTCGATGCACCGGAGCGGAGGAGGACGCCAACAAGAGCCTCCTGGTAGTCAGACTCGGGAACGATGGCCACGGCCAGCTGCAACGGCGAGTAGCCTGTGAGCGGATCGTCGGGCTCGAGCGGGGCGAACGGCGCGTCGACATCGGCGCCCGAGTTAAGCAGTTCGGACACGGTCTCGACCGAGGTATGGGTCGGGGCGAGGAGGAGCGCAGCATGCAGCGGATGGCAGCCGCGAGCGTCGGCGATTGATGACGAGCCGGGCGCGTACCGCGCCAGCAGCGCGATGGCTGCTGGATGCCCAGCGGCGGCTGCGGCGGCGACAGGGGTGCATCCTGCGGCATCGCGGGCCGAGACCGAGGCGCCTGCGCCGACCAATAGCTCGATGGCGCGACGTGCGCCCGATACAGCATCAACTTCGTGAGCGGCGGCAACGACATGCAGTGCAGTGCGGCCTTGAGCATCGGCGACGTCGACCATTGCGCCCAGCTCCAGCAGCATGGCGAGGGCATCGAGTGCGAGGAGGTCTGCGGCGGCGTGCAGGGCAGTCTTGCCAGACTCGGCCTCGGCTGCCTCGAGCGGTGCGTCGCAATCGGCCAGAAGTTCAAGGAGATCGGGGATGTTTGCAGCAGCGGCGGCGACGATGAGCAGGCGCGGGTCGTTAGGCGGGCAGCGGATCGGGGGCGACGAGTCGAGGGCGCGGAACATGGTCCGTGCGGCCGAGGCAGCAGCTATATCGGCATCCGAGTCTCCTCGTAGGCCCGAAGCACGCGATGCACCGATCAACCCGGCCCCGCGCCGTGGAGCATACAGCGAGGTCCCGGCCAGCGCCCGCAGCACCGTTCGGGTCCGCGAGAGCAGACCGGCCGTGTCGCGGAGCGAGGCGCCACCGGCAGGCCCTGCTGCCGCCTGGATGTCTGCAAAGAGCCCTGCGAGTTCCGCCACCACACGCGGTGTGCTTGCTCCTTCCCTGCTCCCCATGCCCCACCCTACACCGCTGCGACGGGTGTGCCCTCTGTCGTCCGTCGTGGCCATGTCTGTGGTCGTGCTGCCATGGCTGTTCCGCACTCGTTCCGCTCATCCGGTAGCATTCGGCGAGTGATGGAGGCAGTGGCGAGGGGGGGGGGGGGGGGGTTGCTAGCCGTTTAGTTGGATAGGTATGGGTAGGTGATTACGTCGATCGACCTGCGCTTGTCCTTGGTCGGTGATCGGCTTGCTTGCGCGCGTGTGTGTGAGGGGGGAGGAGGCGCATGATACGCCGACAGATAGCTCGTGGACGAGCTTGGCGGGTTGTGGAGGGGGGGGGGCACGGTGGGTTGTGGAGAAGATGATGTCGGCGGCCGCGCATGGCGCGAGCCACAGAGATCAAGAGCGAGTCAAGCGGAGCGGAAGAAGCGGGAAGAGTGGGAGACTCGTAGCCAGCCCCATTGACGACACATCCTACACCATCGTCACGGGTGTGTGGAACATAGCGAGGAGTGGCGGGAGCAGAGAGAGAGAGAGAGAGAGAGCCAGTGAGGGATCGGATAAGAGCGAGTTAGATCAGATCAGATCGGGGCAGGCGATGGGGAGTGGGGCGGTCAGACGGAGAGCGGGTCGGGCGGGGAGGACGACGAAGAGAACAGATACACAGCTGGAGAGCAAGCAGAGCATAATCCAGCAAGCGCATCAGCAAGACCACCATCCCAACTATCCTCGGCTGGGAGGGATGTTTGTCTGCTCGCCCTGTGGGCCCTTGTACGGCATGTGATGCGGCAGGCCGCGCTTGGGCGACCACTCGGCACCGATCTTGCCCACCACCACCAGGGCACCGAGGACGATGACCCCGACACGGAGGCCCTTGGAGATGCCCACGACAGAGCGCATGATATGCGAGGCAAGGACAAAGAGAGTGAGAGGGGTGTGTGTGTTGGGGTGAGGGAGGGGGGGGGTGAGGTGGCAACTGTGGCGTGTGGCTGGGGGGGGCTGGGGCTGGGGCGTGTGGCTTGGGGGGCTGGGGCTGGGGCTGCCGTCTCGCCCCGGGTCGCGTTGCGAGGACAAACAAGTGGCCATTGAGCCGTATCTGGCCCATACCTCCACATCTCAGCCTTAGCCATCGAATAACATGATACTCCTTGTTTGCATCCCCTTGCCCGATCTCCTCTTCCTCGTCCCTCTCTTTTAATCGCCTCTGTCCTGATGATGCACTATCTCTTTCACCCGATCCGCCCCACGTGCAATCCTCCCGGGTTCGATCCCCTTCCCCATCCATTCCCTCCCCCCCCTCTCCCTCCCTCCATGTATCACTTGATATATCCCCATCACTCTGGAAACGCGCAAATCGCTTGTGATCGTCGCTGTGCGGCACATGTCCGACCTGAGAACGCTCGCAGGCCCGCACGACCAAGCCGCCCGCAAGCACTCGCCGGCCCATCTCACTCGCATCGCCCATTTCTCTCCCTCTGGATATGGACTCTGCTTTGATTCTGGCACTGTGTGTGACCATGCTTGCAAGCGTGTCGGTCGCTGTGGCTCTGCCTGGAGTCGACGCTCGTGGCACTGGCTGGACCCGCCTCCCGCCGCTCGTCCACCCGCGCCTGCTGCACGCCTCGGTGGCGGTGGCGGTCGGTCCGGCCGAGCTCGAAGCTGTATGTGTTTTGGGCGGAGTGGGTAGTCTGCCGCGGGCGTCAGAGGCTGGGCATGTGATGGGCAAGGCGGCGGTGCGGCGCATGGGTGATGGTGCTCACCTCGGCTCGCTGCCGGACCTAGAGGTGCTGGACTCGATCGAGTGTCTGGTGAATGATGGCAAGGCGTGGTCGGTCTTGCCTCAGTTGAAGCTGCCGAGGCCGATGTACGGCTTGGCGGTGGCGCGGTGGAACAAGACGGCGGTGCTGGCCGCGGGCGGATCGGGCGAGACCGGCGGGTCGGCGACGGGTACCCGGGATGTATGGCTCATCGACTTTGCTCGCGGGACCGTTGAGCCCGCACCGCCGCTACCGTTTGCTATCTTTGGCGTGCAAATGACCGCGGGCGGCGATGGTGATGCTGGTGGGGTGTGGCTGGCCGGCGGATGGCGGAATTACAATCTGTGCGCGCAGCAGCTGCTCCGCCTCAACGCCACTGCTGCGGCGTGGCAGGTTTTCCCGCACGCGCGATACGCGCATTGCTTTGGCGGGATGGGCGTGCATGGCAAGGAAGTGGGCAAGGACACGGTGTTTGTCTTTGGCGGATCGGCCGACAACGCGCCGGCGCTCAACACGCTGGAGCAGTTTGCGGCGAGTTCCTCTGGATGGACCGTACTCCAGCCGCTTGTCTATGCACGCGACATGATGGCTGCAGCGCAGGTTGGCGGGGCGCTGTACGCCATTGGCGGGCGCGATCCTGAGATGGCGTTCCTCGACTCGGTCGAGGTCTACCACCTTGACAGCGGATGGGCGGTAGATGCGGCGCTGACGCTGCCGGTCCCGCTGGCGGGCGCGTCTGCAGCGACGAGCGGGAGGCTGGTAGTAGTCTCGGGCGGGGTCTCGGCGTTTAACGCGACGCACGCAAGCGGCGGGGCATTTCGGCTGGATGTGGCGTAGACGAGGTGCTGGATGGCTGGCTTTACTGCTGCTGAGCGTCGGCTGATGTGTCTGCGGCGGGATCGGCAGCGGCGGCGTCAGCGGCGCGGCGGGCGCGGTAAACAGGGTCGACGGCCTTTGCGATTTCGATGTCGACGGGCGAGTGGCGGCGGCCCTTGCGGGTGAGGCGAACCTCGCCCTCGACGTAGGGCTTGTGGACGAGACGGACGTAGAGGTGTGTCCGCGGGCGGTGCTTGTGGCCCATGCGGCCCTTGGAGTGGAACATGATGCGCTTGAGCGGGGTGGAGCGACCAGACCAGGCGGCATCGACCACCATGCGCTCGCGGCGCATGCCAAAGTTGTTCTCGCCCGAGAGCATGGCCGAACGGAGGAGCTTGGCCAGCGGAACGGCAGCCTTGCGGGGCACAAAGTTGAGCTGAGCGAGGGCGTCGGTGACCGGCAGACCGCGAACAAGACGGAGCAGCTCCTCAGCCTTCTTTTGCGAGGTCTTGACGTCCTTGGCCATGGCGGTCGAGACCATCGACCTCATCGACTGAGCCAGCTCGGGCGCCACGCCACCGACGGTCGCCTCCACCGCCACATCCTCACCCGCCACCTCCAGCAGCGAGCTTGTAGGTGGCGGCGGCGGCGGATCCTTGGCACCAGCAGCAGACGAGGCCGAGAAGCAACGAGTAGCAGACATTTCCATGCCCATAATCTTGATAGCCATGCCGGTGGCAGGCTCCATGGCCGGCTGCAGCACCACTCGGACACCAGCGGTGGATGCCACACTCCGGGCCAGGGCCAGAGCAGGGCGGACGGCTGCGAGCATGGTGAGGGGAGGAAGGGGAGGGAGGAGGTAGGTGTGGTGTGTATGTGTGTGTGGGGGAGGGGTGTGTGTGTGTGTGTAGGGGGTGGTGGTGGTGGTAGGGGGGGGTGGAGTATAGAGACGTAGGTGGTAGGAGGGGGGGAGAGGCTGTGGGTGGAGGGGCGAGCGGGCCGAGTGGGGCGGGCGGGTGACGCGCGGCTGGCGGCT